TTGGGCCTCTTCTGTACGGTGAGGAGCTGGATGAGATGGTTCAGAGGCCCATATCATGCTCTGAGGTTCTGGGGCCCTAAGACTACATCAAGGGGGTACCACTGCCCAAGGAGGAGGCTGGCCTCACGTCTTAAGCCCGGCGTTGTCCAGCACCAGCTCTTCGAGGCTCCCCGACTTGCTCAGGGTGTGTAGCACCTGTTCTAGCACTTCAGAGCCCTGCGGACAGAGGGGGTCATGTGACCAGGAGCCAGAGAGGGCAGTACTCTCCCCTCCCCACTGCCCCTCCTAGACCCTACCAGCCGCAGGTCCTTGCAGTAGAGTTTGGTGAACCATTGGTTGTAGGCCAGGGCTGCCACCATTAAGGCCAAGTCTCTGTGGGGAGATTGAGGGGTGGCAGGAAGGTGGTGAGCAGGTGGCTAGGGCCGGGAGGAAGAGACTAGGGCTGGGGTGGCTGGGCTGGGGAAAGCCTAGATGGGTGGAAGGCAGGGGGGCGTGGGGGCTGGGAGACAGAGCCTAGGCTGTGGGTGGGACCAGAAGGGAGAGGCTAGAAGGGCCAGGGCTGGGCTGGGGCTGGAAAGGGGGCTTGAGTCTCTACCCCATCTGCTTACCGGCTCTCCAAGTGGCTGAAATCCAAAAGATTGAACTCCCGGTTATCCTCGGCATGATAGATGGTGTCGACATCCTTGGAGAGGTGGAACTGGCTCACACCTGCTTCCCTCCTTCTCCTTCCTCTGCCCCCTCCCTCTGGGTCCCACCTGCCCGCCTGCCGGTCCTGGCCCAACGCACCCATTGCACCTCCTCACGGCAGTGCAGCCCATTGTAGTCGCACAGGGCGGCGTAGGTCTCGGAGAAACCACCTGTGGGGCAGGAGATGGGCTGGCTCCTTGAGCGGTAAGGGGGTGGGGAACAGGCTTGGAGTTCAAGGAAAGGTCAAGGTCACTTTATGCACCAGTGTCCTGGGTTCATGAACCTCTGAGGTCTGGGAGCCGTGGAGTCTCAGGGCAGGCAAAGGCCCGTACACAGAGGACTCTGAGCAAGGGGCAGGGTGGTGTAGGCCCCACTTTCCTCAAGTCTGCCCCTGCTCACCGCAGACGCTGTGAGCGGTGGACGTGGAAGTCTCAGAGTTGGGGGACGTGTCTCGGGGCCCTTCTGGGGTATCTGCATTTCCACGCCGGATTAGACTCCTGGAAAATGAACAAATCCATCCCAAGATGGGTGGAAAGAGGCTCTCAATTCTTACCCTGTTATAGCTTCTGGATCCCCAAGAAAAGCAGGAATAGGGACACAAGAGCTCTTCGCCTTGATGTCTCGGGGGGCCCAGGGGAAGGAGGGAGGGAGGAAGGAGGTCTCCTTGTCTGACCCCTGAGAGACTCCTCCTCTGCCACTCACCCAGGGCCAGGGCAGACCTTGGAGAGGGCAGAGCTCACATGTCGTGTCACCTGGTCCACACTCTCAGCCGATGGCAGCCGCATGCTCACCATGCCACGCTCTGTCTCCACTAGGATCTGGGGGAGAGGAAGCAGCAGGGCCTCAGACGCAGGCTCCCTCCTCCCGCTGGCCCAGGAGTGGGGCCCGAGCCCTGGTGCTCACCTGGTTCTGACTGAGCGTGTTGAAGGCGCGGATCTCCAGGACATTGAAGGAGCTCTCCACCTGGGGGGAGGGGACACGGGGATGCCCAGCTCATGGTCAGGGCCTGGCTGCCGGGCTCAGAGGGGAGCACGCCAGGTGCTCTCCGGCTCATCGGCCCAACTCACCTTGGCTGGGACTTTAAGGGGGAAAAGGTGGAGGCGCCAGGAGGTCAGGGCCTTCAGAGAGGGGAAAGGAACGTCAGCAGCAAACGGCAGCTTCCTGGGCTCTAGTCACCCTGCTCTCTGTTAGCCCCCTCAGCCTGTGTGCACCCCCTGCCAGCTGACTCTCTGCTCTGGAAGTCCCCCCTCTCTCACATGCCCCACCCTAGGCTCCTAGACATCCACCCCGTCCAGCCTCCCCCTGCCCCCAGGCTATGTCTTCTCAGCTCTCCCCCCACCTCTGTCTCCCCTGTCCCCCCAGGCTCCTTGCCCTCACCAGCCCAGGTGATCTTGACCCCCTCCCCTCCCCCAGCCCAGTGTCCTCACCAGCACTCGGTCCTCGAACTTCTTGGGCTTCGTCTCCAGCTTGACACGATGTTGTTGGAGCACAGCCGCTTGGCTCAGGCACCTCCGGATGCTGTCTGCAGGTGGGTGGTGGGCTGCTCAGAGCTCCCCTGACCCTGGCCGCCCCCGCAAACCCGAGGCGCTCCAGGGGCAGGGGCAGAGGAGAGGAGAGAGAATCAGAGAGAGACTGAGAAGGACAGGGACCGAGACCTTTCCTTCTTGGGTGACTTTTCTCTTTCTATTAGAAAGGCAGTGGGGTGTGGAGAAAACTCTGGCTCCTGACGTTCCTGAGTCGGGGGACAGTAGCTGAGTGACACCGTGGGAGAGTGTGAAGGATTTTTCCAACCCGTGCACTCCAGCAGCTGTCAACACATACAGAGTGAGTCAGTGTGTAGGGGTGTGGAGGGTATCCCTTCGGCTGCATTCTAGGTGGCCTGGGTGTGAGTGTCTACCTTTTACTACGCATGTAAAGAAGATGCCAGGGAGCCCGTGTGTGGCATTCGTGGGGATGGGTAAGTGTGAATGAGTATGCTGTGTCTGCAGTTGTGAAAGGGGCACAGAGCCAGCCAGCTCTGGTGTGGGTGGGAGCTGTGGGGTAGGAAGGAGTTAGTGTTTAAATGAGTTCCATACCCATCTGCTGGCAGAATCATCCAGATATCCCAGTGTGTGTGCGTGTGTGTGCGTGCGTGCGTGTGTGTGCGGCTTCTGTAAAGATGTGTGTACACACATCTCATGATTGTGTTTGTGTGCCTGTGGAGCTGTGGGAAATCGCCACGGTGCAGCATGCCTCTGAGTATCCTTGAGCGTCCTGGTCTCTGCGTGGGCTAGCCTGTGCTCCTGCCTCTGGGGGTCAGGGTTGGCAGTGCTGGGGGGTCGGGCCTTGGTTTGGTCTGAGTCTGAGAACCAGGCAAACAGGAGAGGCTGTGAGGTGAGGCCGTGAGGTGTGGGTGTGGGGTAGAGAGAAGGGGGCAGGCTGGGATGTGGGCTGTGGTAGATAAGCTTCAGTAGACCCTGCTCCTGGTTTTAGTTCCAGTCCAGGCCCTTTTCCCTGACTCCCTTCTTTGCCCCACTGGCCGGGGCGCTAGGGGGGCTCTCGAGCCAGTTCCGGGGCCGGGCCCAGAGGAGGGAGGGTGTTGAGGCCAGAGGAGGTCAGGACCTGGGGCAGCTCCCATCACCCGGCAGGGCTGGCCTGGCCCCGCCCGGCGGGGAAACGGGGATTCTCCGGAGGGGACACTGGATGCTTGGCCGAGGGATGGGCCAGAATCGCTGAGGGTCAGCCCCAGGGAGCGTGAAGGGACTGCACCTGTCACTGAAGATCAGGACGGGCGGCTCTGGGACACGTAGGTCCTGACGGGGTGAGGCGAGGGGGGCAGCGGAGGATGCTCTGGGACAGCGATGCCCCGAGCTGGGATGCAGGGGCAGGGAGCTGCCTTGGAACCGGATGCATGAGGGGCGGAAGGCACCGGGGTGTACCGCGGGGAGGAACGCACTGGGTCGGGGAGGCTCCCGGACGGGGCGTCCCGGAGACCACCGCAGCCTCGTACCTTGCAGCTCGCGGGTGAGCTCCGCGCTGGACTTGGCCATGGCGGCCGTTGCTGCCGCTGTTGCTGCAGAGGAGCCGCCGTCGCCACCGCCGGGGAGACACGGCACATGCTAGACCCGGCTCCGGCAGGGCCCCGGCGCTGAGCGCTGCAGCAGCCGCTGAGCCCGCTCCTGTGAGGGGCGGCTGCGCGAGCGCTACTCCCCCCGCCTCGGAGCGCCGGGTCTCCCGCCCCGCCCGGAGAGGTGCCAGACTGAGCATGCGCGCCGCGCCTCCGAGCCGCGTGAGACCCTGAGAGCGCTCGCGCCCACCCCTCCCGCCGGCTCTAGCGTGCTACGCCCTGTGCGTGTCGCCTGCAGCCCGGTCCATCTCCCGGAAGGGGGGCAGCGTCCCCACATTCCGTGTCACTCACTCCTCGGGCACCGTGAGCAGAACCCACTTCTTTTGTTCGTAGGCCTGGGTACCCCTCGCCGGGTCATCTTTGCAAGGCTCCTCCCTTTTCACTGCTTGCTCGGGACCCGTCCAGCGCGTCCTCGCTGACCCTCGAAGGAAGGAGCTCTAGGCCGAGGGCGATGCCGGCAGAGGACATGGTTGAATGTGGGGGACTTCGTCCTTCGTTTTCCGCTTGCCCAGCCTCGGGGATCCCTGCGGTGTTCTTGGCACCATCCCCGCGGGTGTGAGGCTGAGAGCAGCACCTGGGAATTCCCGTGCCACTTCCTCCCAGCTGGCAGCTCTGCAAACACCTCCACACCCAGCATTACGCTCAGGTGCTGGAGACAGGGAGGAGGGTTAGGAGGATCCAGACTTAGTATCTGGGGGGATCTTAGGGGAATCCAGTCCACTCAGATTTATGCTCTCTGCTCGGCTACCACACCTATGCACCCTACACTGAAAAACGAACACATTGATTCAAAGCATCATGATGATCTGTATTTTATTTGGACCTCATTTGCGAGTTGTTAATTTCCAACCCTGTTCCACTCCAGGTTCCTTCTCTCCCATCTCCCTCAAATTCCCCTGATGCCCAGAAAAAAAATATTAGTTAGTCTTTGCCGCGGTAGACTAAGCCCTCTCAGCAGGCCTGCCCTGTGCTCTCAAGGGAAGTCTTTATCCAAGGCCACAGCAACAGTGAGAATCCTCATAACCACACCTTGACCCCAGAGAATGCTGGAGCTTTTCACAGGGCAGAATTGATATGGGTGGGGTGGAGTTAGGGTGTAAGGTGAGCAGTACGCTAGGCAGAGGTGGGAAAGGCCAGTAGATGGGTGCTGGAACAGGACCCAGGAGATGGAGCCCAATCTCTGTGCTGGTGGATGTCCTCCAGGTCCTCAGAGGCGGGATGGCATCCCTCCAGCCACCACGACTGTCTCCCCAGTGATATAGCTGGCGTCTTCGGAGCAAAGGAAAGATACGATGCCCGCACAGTCCTCTGGCTTGCCTATCCTGGGGAGGAGGGGAAAAAAGGAAGGGAGTAAAAATCAACCTGGGAATGAAATTTGCTTAATCAAGAAGTATCAGGTGATTTTTCAGGACCAGTGTACTGCCCATAGGGTAGAGGCAATAATAAGGTTACCATGAATATAAGCTGTTACAGTTCAGTATAAGCATTAATACTATACTCTGCAAAAACCACTGCACATTATATTCATATAATATAGAGATACTTTGTTTTCTAGAGAACTCAGAACACCAAAATCCAAAGTTATATAGATAACCTGGTGAGCAGCTATTTCACTCTTCAAAGAATTTGTTTCACATGTGTGCATACTATTCAAATGTCAGGGAGTCTGTGAGACAGTAAATGATTTGTTTAAAATGATTCCATTTGTACAGCTTCAATTCACAGACACCTTTTTCAGGAATCTATTTTTGTCCCTTAAAGTCATTTTGTGAGACTGTGCTAATTCTCAGTGTTTGTATCAGTGATTGCATAGTTAGGCAACACTTTAACCTAACTGCCATAGAATGCTCTAGAGGTGGGTAGAGTGGGTACCTCAAACCTAGAAGGCCTGGATTAGTGGTAGCTGCACACTGTAGTCGTCCGAGAGGCTTAACTCTCCCCACCCCCACCCCCGCCAAAGATGCCTAGGTTCTACCTCGGACCAATTAAAAAAGAATCTCTGGGAGTGGGGTCTGAGCATCTGTGGTTTCACAAGCACCCCAGCTAATATGCATCCAAGACTGAGAAGCATGGGGCCGGATCATTCACTGTGGCTCAAGGGTGACAATACCCTGACTTATTAATGAGTTGTGAACTAGGCCAGCAGCTCATGCTTGACATCAGAATGGCTTTGGGAGCACTTGAGGGTGTCTCCCCCCTCAAGTAGGCATTGCTGGTATGTGTACTTGAGGAGACAAGGCAGAGGAGCTAAAGACAAGAGAGTTCCCAGAAGCCAGAAGCTGGAGAGAGGCAGGGAACTTAGAGGAAAGAGAGCCAGATGAAGGTACCTGAACAGTTTGGCCAACCCTTTGGGGAAGCGGCTAGTTTTCTTAGGCAAGGGGAGTTTGGGGACTTGGTAAAGCTCTTCATTCCTTTTATTTGGATTGTAGGATCATTAACCTGAGCTTTGGACACATGACTTTTTATTCGAGGGGAACTAACAAAAGCATGTTTTGGTTTTGGTTTTGGTCCCTCATCCTTAGGGATGCCCAGAGGTGGAGGCAAACACCTAGGTGGAGAGAGGGGTCAGGGCCTCCCCCAGAGCTCTGCTCTGCTAAACCTGGATGCCTCTGTGTTTCGTTTTTGCAGTGGAAGCAGACTCCTTGCACACGCCACTGTAGTGATGCTCTGTTCAAGAACTTGTGAAATCTGTGTGTTTGAAGCAGAGGAGAGCATGCCTGTGTTGTCTGCAGGACTGAGAGTCGGCAAGCCGTGGGCTGTGAGGGACCATCTTTATCCCTCCTCGCCCTCCCCTGTGACAGCCTTACCTTTTTTTTTTTTTAAATTTATTTAATTTATTTAGTTTTGGCTGTGTTGGGTCTTCGTTGCTGTGCACGGGCTTTCTCTCGTTGCAGCGAGCAGGGGCTACTCTTCGTTGCAGTGCGCAGGCTTCTCATTGCAGTGGCTTCTCTTGTTGTGGAGCACAGGCTCTAGGCGCGCGAGTTTCAGTAGTTGTGTCACGCAGGCTCAGTAGTTGTGGCTTGCGGGCTCTAGAGCGCAGGCTCAGTAGTCGTGGCGCACTGGCTTAGTTGCTCCGCAGCATGTGGGATCTTCCTGGACCAGGGCTCGAACCCGAGTCCCCTGCATTGGCAGGCGGATTCTCAACCACTGTGCCACCAGGGAAGCCCCCAGCCTTACCTTTTGATCTGCATGGTTGCTTTTAGGCTCTCCAGTCTTTCCTGGTCATCCCACAACTGCAGGAAAAAGGGAAATCTCTTCCTGTGAGGGACAGCGAGGGGAGAAACTGCCTGCCCTCACATCAATTGAAAGGGTGATGGAGAGGCACCCCCTTCACTTCCTCGTCCTTCTCAGCTCCCAGTCTGTACCCACTTCCCTCTTCTGCTCCATTCTCTTCAAGTTCTAGTGAGGCATTTTCCTGGGTCGCCCCGGGTCTCACCTACTTAAGGAGACATGAAATGGCCTGAGTGGTATCTGAATTCCTCAGTCTCACTGTGCACCTCAGGAAAGGATCATGTGGGGGTCTGGTCTGGACACATGGCTGGTATGGAGCGGGGATATGGAAAAGTGCAGAGATGGGGGGTAGAAGAGGTGGGGAGCTCAGGACCCAGGAGCTGAGAAGATGCCTTTTAGGGTCCCAGTGGGATGCAGGACTCCCCTTCCTCACCATACGGCTGAAGCTAGTCTTGATGAGTCCAGGTGCCAGGCAGTTCACCCTAATGTTCCTTTGGGCCAGCTCTAAGGCCAGGTTCTTGGTGAGGCCCAGCAAGGCTGTTTTACCAACATTGTAAGGGCCCAGGCCCTGGGAAAAGGAGAGAATGTGTTAGTCTCTTCAATTCCAGTTCATTCTTGGTTCTTAACATAAGATATAAAGGGTTATAAACAGATAATAGGGTATCTCTTGTAATGGAGGGTCCCAGTTAGACAACTGTCTTGTGGTTAAACCTCCCCTAGGTTAGCGTTTGTGGAGGCAAGGCTTCTATTTTGCTGGAAGGTACTTGGTGATGTGATTCCAAAAGGGGACACAAACTTCTTAGGGTGACTGGAAGGGTAGAAGGTACAGGATGGAGGAAGGGATAAAAGTAGCAGAAAAGGAGGTTCTTACAGGAAATGGTCTGTAGGCTCCTACGGAGGCCACAATCACCACTGAGCCGCCTCTGGAAGAGGAACAGAATGACCCTCTTCCCATGGACACCCTCCCCTCAGCCTTCATGGGGCCCATCGAACACAGGCTCCCTCTTGCTCTCTGTACCCTCGTTTCTCCATCTCTGGCACCACTGCCTTTGTGATCAGGGCTGTGGCCTTCACATTAATGTCCAGAATCTGCAATAGAGAGAAGAGGGGGAACAGCATGAGGGAAGAGGGCGGCAGAAGGCAAGGCAATGGGGAGTTAGAGTGCGGTTCCCAGGATCCGTTTGTTAGGGCTGGCAGAGATCCTAGGGGTGATCTACTTGGCCTTACAAGTGAAGAAACCGAGGCCCAGGGAGAGGTGGCTTTGCCCGGTTTATTCAGTTAGAGAATGACACATTAGGTTCGGGTGAGGAAGAATGGAGCCCGGTTCAGCTTGTTTCCTAAGTATGATTTGACCCAGAATGGGTCTGAACTCTCAGGGCTGCCTTGGACTTGAGCTGGATTTTCTGTGTGTCTTCCAACTAGGGAGAGCCTGGAATTGGATGGCTTCCTGGACCTGCCCCAGAGTGCGCCGTGTTTCTCAGGGGAAATGTGGCCTGACCTCAGGCACTTGGGGTTGTTCCAGCACTTTTCTGGCTTCTGAGCTTAGGGAGTGAGATGCTCTTGGCCCTCCAGGATGGATTGTCTGGCTGGACCTGTATCGGCAAGTGGGATCATGAGGAGGCACTTCTGGGGGAGCTGGAACATAGTCTACAATCAAAACCCCACATGTGTAATTTAAAACAAAGGCATGACCCTTGTTTACATTGTTCCAGGCACTGCTGGGATACTCCCCTCCCATACCCCCCATGCAACTTCTTATTTAGAAAATGTTCGCTCTTACAGAAAAGTTGAAATAGAAGGACAATGAATATCCAGATATCCTTTACCTACATTCACCAACTGTTCACATTTTGTACCATTTGCCCTATCTATGTACCTATACAGTTTTTTCCTTACCCTTGGAAGGTAAGTTGCAGACATTCTAATGCTCTAGCCCTAAAGACTTCAGCATCATTTCCAAAGACTAAGGATGTTCTTCCACACCACCATCCATTATCACACCCTAGAAATTTAACATTGATAATCATGATTTTACCTAATATACTGTCTATAATAAAACTTCCCCAATTGTCCCCCAAATGTCCTTAATGTTTTTCAAAGTCCAGGGTTCAATCAAGGATCAACCATTGCATTTAGATTTGATATACTGTGATATTAAAAAAAAAAAGCCAACTAAACCGGTTTCCAGGGCAGAAGTAGAGACACAAATGTAGAGAACAAACGTATGGACATCAAGGGGGGAAAGTGGCGGGGGGGTGGTGGTGGGGGTGGGATGAATTGGGAGATTGGGATTGACATGTATACACTGATGTGTATAAAATGGATGACTAATAAGAACCTGCTGTATAAAAAAATAAAAATAAAATTCAAAAAAAAGCCAACTAAAAAGAAAAATTACTTGTTTTATAACTGATTTTCATGTGGTCTCTGTTCAGACTGCTCATGAAAGATGTTTCTCTACTTTGAAGAATATCAATCAGGAACTGATTCACTGAAGAGCATTTTGGCACTTTGGTCTCTATGTCTGTGAAACACTGATAAACTAGAATAGTTTAGTATCCTTAAACTTCAGTGTTGAGAAATTATGGATGACGTCAGGGTAAAAAGCAAAACCATGGGAGATCATGAAAAATTCAGCATTTTCAAATCAGGTGGGAATATTAACCTCAGTAAAGAAAGACAAATATTTTAATTAAGGCTTTATAATTAAAGAATGTAGGTGTGTGAAATATATTATGAATATAATGTAATTGTACACATTCACATGAAAACTAATATTCTCGTTCTTGAATTTAGACATCTGGATCTCAGATGTTCTAGACATTGGAGTTAAAAAGGAAAAAGCGTAGGTCTTTTTAAAAGGCTGTATGTTATAAAGCAGCAACTTAGTTAATTTCACGAGAATTGATATTTCACTTAACTAGCAGCTATTAAAGTTTTCCAACTAATGAAAAATCATTCTTTTTTGGCAGCTGAAAAGGGGAGGGGTGGCGTGTAAGTCTGAGCGTACTAGTTATTGGCTTATTAGCTGCCCTGTCTGCTGGAAATAAACCAGGAAGAAGAGCCTGGATAAGCCCACGGGGTCGGGGTGGGGGAGATGGGGGAGGGAGGCAGAAGACGGGTTAGCAAGGAGCAAATGAAGACAAAACTGGGGAGAAGCAGAAATAAAAGAGAAGGGCAGGGACAGAGGAAGCCCCCCACCCCGCCACTGGCCCTTTACCAGGTGCACTGCAGGCACGTGGCAAATTGCAAGGATTCCACACATTTACACGGCACTTGACAAATACATTCTAAAAGCAGACTGAGGGTGTGTCTTCTGAGGCCCACCCCCTGCAGCTCTCATCCCCTCTCACCTTGTCCCATACCTCCTCGGTGACATCCATTAAGTTTCCAAAGAAAGGCATGACGGCAGCATTGGAGACCAGGATATCCACGCCCCCGTGAAGGTTCACAGCCTAGAGAGCAGTAAGGTCTGAGTTAGGGCTGCAGGACAGTAAGGGAAGTGCATTTATCAGTGTCGATAAAGAATTCCTTCTTAGGAACAGTTGTCAAAATGACCTCTTTTCCTTAAAACATTTTCTCTCCAAAACACCCCAAGCTCTGCTGCTGAAACATTTAAGGTCGTCTTATTTCTTTGGCAGTCTTTTCTTCCTGCCCCCACTTCTGAGGCTGTCACTGACCCTTTTTTCTTTAGACTTTCCCTTTGGGAGCTCCTTTATTCTCATGGCCTCAGCTCTCACCTCAAAGTCCATTTCTAGACCCTTCCTCTTTTTTCCCAGCCCCATTTCTCCCAGTGCCTACTGTCCAGTTCTCCTTGAATGAGTTACCATTACCTCAAACTCAGCCTGTCCACACGTACCTGAACGGAGAAACAAGTTTAAATAGACCTATAGGGACTTCCCTGGTGGCGCAGTAGTTAAGAATCCGCCTGCCAATGCAGGGAACATGGGTTTGAGCCCTGGTCTGGGAGGATCCCACATGCCACGGAGCAACTAAGTCCGTGCGCCACAACTACTGAGACTGCGCTCTAGAGCCCGCGAGCCACAACTACTGAGCCCGTGTGCCACAACTACTGAAGCCCACGCGCCTAGAGCCCGTGCTCTGCAACAGGAGAAGCCACTGCAATGAGAAGCCCATGCACCACAACGAAGAGTAGCCCCCGCTCACCACAACTAGAGAAAGCCCGTGCAGTCACGAAGAATGAACGCAGCCAAAAAAAAAAAAAAAAAAAATTAGACCTACAGAAAGTTGCCACTCGGGCCTTTGAGATCACCTAGCCCAATGTCCTCATGGTGAAGGTGATGAAACTGAGGTCCAGGGAAGTTAGTTTCTCAAGGTCATATAGCTCAGTAATGACATATCAGGGCCAGCTAAGAAGAGGAGGCCTGCTCATTCGGTCTCTGGGAAAGGTGAAGTGATTTGCTCAGGGCACAAGGCTAGTTAGTGGTGGCAGAACTTACACTCTAACCCAGAGCTAATTCATAAGAGTCCTTCAAAAGTGAGTTGGGGTCACTATGAAACTGGCTACCCAGGAGAGCCATGATGGAGAGGATGCTGGCCTGGGCTTAAAGCAGTTCCATACTCGGTTATGAAGCCATTTCTCCCTTCCCCCCACCCCTTGCTTTTATTTTTTTGGCCTGGAGGCATGGAAGACTCAAGGCAGAAACTGAGATTTAAACTGGGAAAACTAAGAGAGGCAACATCTCACCTCCTTAATAAATTTTAAGTATGTGGTGAAGACATGTGCTGGAGTAACGAGTAGCCAAACAAAATCTGCCAACATTATGCCATGCTGCAACCAGACTTCGCATTGGCCCAGAATTGGGAATTTTGATGCCTTGGGCAAGCGGCACTAAATGGGCCCTCAACCAACTTTGTGCTTCCGGATTTGGCACACAGAGGTGTGTTATTAACAATCTGCTAGCTCCTGTTTTAACTAATTATTCTTGCTAACTAGGTGCTAAGCTCAGTTGCTTCCACACTGCTGAGGGGATGCCTGGGCTGTCAACATGTAAATTTAACAAATTTTAAAATCACGTAATCTTTGCAAACCTGTATCAATAGTCTCTTGCACTCTCTAAATTTTGATGTCCCGGCACAAAATCCCAGTCACCTGCCTTGGCTCTGTGTAAGTTTCATGATGAGGAAAACATGGTATGCGTTAGAAAGTGATGTGTGCTGGGCCATGTGCGGGTGTGTTTGGGGGTGGGGAGATAGTGGATTGCAGCAGAACCGCCTGGAGCACTTTTCCACTTCTGCTGTGTATCCTGTCCCCTTCTTTTTCTAGGCCTATCAGCATAGAGAGGAGGGAAGGCTGGCTTTTGCCTGAACAGACAAAGAACACTGCAAAACTAATGGCAAAGCTACTATGACCACCCAGGTGTCTTCTAAGGCTTGCTCTAAATTGTGTGATTGCTACTCTGTGTTCTGACGGTCTATTTTTTACTTTTTAAATAAATTTATTTCTTTTATTTATTTTTGGCTTTGTTGCGTCTTCCTTGTGGTGCACAGGCGTCTCACTGTGGTGGCTTCTCTCATTGCAGAGCATAGCCTCTGGGCGTACGGGCTCAGTAATTGTGGCCTGCGGGCTCAGCAATTGTGGCACATGGGCTCTAGAGCGCATGCTCAGTAGTTGTGGAGCACCGGCTTAGTTGCTAGCGGCATATGGGATCTTCCCAGACCAGGGCTTGAACCCGTGTCCCCTGCACTGGCAGGCAGATTCCCAACCACTGCTCCACCAGGGAAGCCCAGTTCTATTTTTTTTAAAAAAGTAGAATCAAGTGGAAAAGCAGCTAATCTGGTTTCGGCTCATGACACCTTTGAGAAGCTCTGAGGTGCAGATTAGGAGGCCACTGGGGAGAAACCATCCTCAGGGCAGCAGCTTCCCTCATCACAGGTAGTGGCTGGCAATAGGCAGGACGCATCTCAAACTGCTAACAAGTATCCTATCATTCTCCACTCGACATTGGCCATTCAAACTACTTGAGAGTCAATTTTGATTCATCCCTCCTACTTCCCATTTCTTGACACCGGCCAGGAAAAAAAAAAAATCTTGGTTGGTTCCCACTAAATGTCTCTTGGGCGCGTCTGTTCTGGTCCTACTGCCACTGCTCTTACCTAAGTGACGACATCAGCTTCCTCCCTGATGTCCTTGGCTCAGTTTTCTTTTCTCCAATATATCCTTCCTCCCAGTGCCAGATTATTGTCCTTTAATAACCATTTTCACCTTGCTCAAAACCTCACATGGCTTCTTATTTCCTCCAAGAATGTCTAAACTCCTTTGGGAGGCCACAGAGGCCCCTGTCCCTCATCCTTCCCACCCGGCCCATTTCCTACCAGCCCTCTCAAGCCTGTGCTCTCTCTCTGCTGTGGGTTCACAATGCTCCCCTCTCCCCTTCCGTCCCTGCTTGGCTGTCTGCTCATTTTGCAGGGTCATCTGGAATCCCGGCCCTATGCCATCTGCCCAGCCCCACGCACTCTTCAAGGTCTAGTTCAAACCCCGCTTCTGGGCCAGAGCTGCAGGACAGGTAAAGTGGACCTGGTGAGGGTCCAGAGGTCATTTTCCCAGCAGGATTTTGACACTAAGTGGCCACATACATTTCATACAGCTAGTCACTAGTTGGCCCAGGACCCCAGGTGGCTCCCTCACCCTGAGGATCAAGGTCTCAATCTCAGGCTCTGTCCAGCTGCCTATGCCAGGCAAGGTGGCTTTCTTGGACTCCCCATCTGGCTCTCTCCAGTGCACATCTGAGCATTTGCCAAACGACTCCTGACAAATGGAATAACCTTATGCTGTCTACTATACCACCACCTACCATCATTTCATGTCCTCCTTGTCTAAGATTACCCAAATTATTTCACCATCTTTCACTCTGTTAGCACAATATCCTTTGCTTTCCATTCTCGGGCAGATTCTCCCTTTTACTCCAAGAAGTAAAGGGTGTGCGCTGAGCCTAGGGAAGAGCAGCCTCCTTTGCAAAATGTTCATATTTTCTTGCGCAGCTGGAAGACTGGTGCCAAGCACCAACTCTGACACTGGTTTAGACACTGTCTTTGAGGCTAAAGTCCAAGTGGCACCTAAGGCCTGACCTGATGGGGAAATGCCTGGTAGTCTGTAGGTAGCTTGGCAATTCTGGGTTGGCTCACAGCTCTTCTCTTACTAACTGTGGGACCTTGTGATGTTGATCCAGCTTTCTGAACCAGTCTTTAAACAGGGAGACTAATCCTGGCCTTGCTTGGGTTGTTGTTTGGAGAGAACCTGCAAAAGGCTCAAAACAAAGTGCATGGCACACAGTAGGTGGTTGAAACCTGATGGGCTGCCTCCTGTAGGGTCCCGGAGACTCGACTTTATAAGCTGAAAAACAGGGATTGTTTATTAGCTCAGAGTGGGAATACCTATTTTGCAATTGTATTTACCCTTTTTATCTGCCCAATTAGATTGGAAAGCCAGAACCAGCTGTCTTTTTTGGGGTGTGCCCCAAGGCACAATGCAGGGTTGAAACGGTAGAGTGGTTTTTTGATTCTCTGACTGAGATGGGATGATTCTCGGAGGCAGAACAGAAAGGCAACACAATAAAAATGTGCTGGTGGACTGGAGTGGGTATGCAGATCGCACTGTGGTGTTTTAGTTAACAGTGCTGGCTTGGATTACACCCGTGTTGTCCAGGAAAGCCAGCTCAGGCTGGCTCCCTTCTGCTACCTCCTGGCTCTGCGCCCATATCCTTGCTGCTCACCGTGGCTACCAGCCGCTCTCGGTCTTCACCCTTCCCCACATGGCACACGGTGCCCGTCACACTCAGCCCCTCCCCGTGCAGCGTTGCCACTGCCCGATCCACGTTCTGCTGCTTCCGGCTGCTGACCACCACGTGGGCCCCATCTTGGGCCAGACGCCGGGCGATGGCAAAACCGATCCTGTGGGCAGAGAGAGAGAAGGACTTTTAAGTTGGTACAGGAAAAGAGGGTGAGAGCGTGGGCTCCTGAATCAGATTGCCTGGGCTTTGAATTCCAGCTTTCTCTCTGTAGGACCCCCATGTGTTAGATAGGGTTAATGACACAGCCATTACCATACAGATGGACATGCTTAGCATATTTTTGGCACTGGTTTACTTATTTTTCTTATGGTTTTGCCCTTCAGTCTAGGTTCCCAGGAAGTGATATCACCTTCCACAGGTGCCACCACGGGTCACAGTCCCCATACCCTGTAGGGACTGAGGAGAGAGAGATGAGCTAGGGGGTATAACAAGCAGCAGCTATTTCCGTGATTGGAGGGTCTCACTCAGAAAAGCCTCTACCCCCAAATATCTTCCTTACTAGTCTACATCATCTCAATATTCTATCTTTAGTTACGTTTGGAGGTACATGTGAAACTGGGGGTCTCCGGTTACAAACGTAAATTTTTTACATACTCCCCTGGGAGAAAGGGTTACACATTTTGCACTTAGCCATTAGCATTTCCCATTCACTTGTATTTTAGATTTGTGAAGAGCTGGCATCTAGCAGGGTTCTGTGGGAGTGAGAAACAGGGTAGACAACAGTGGTTGGTGAGACACGGGCTGGGCAAGAGAGGCCAAAATGTACTGAACTAAACAAGAATGTGGACACGTGGCTTTTGTGTCCCCTCTAGGTAAGGGGCGCAGTTCTATGAGACTAGTGGGGTGCCAAAATGGGGTGTCTGGAACATTTCCACCGTCGGTGCAGGCAGTGGATAGGATTTTTGGAATCTGGACTGTCTGGGATTTCCGGCGTCTGGTCTTCCCAGACTCTAGGTGGGGCCAGTTGACCCGGGCAGCCCAGAACCCTGGGAGATGGGATTGACGGGGGCGGGCAGCACCCAGGTGGCACAGTCGAGCCAGAGGCAGCAGTGACAAGAGGGCTGGCAAGTGCAAGGTTGGGGGCGTAGGCGATTCCGAGGGGACTGCAGGCCAACCACGTAGTTCCTTTCTTCCCTGGCCGACTGTGGCCACACGTGACGCCTGAAGATGGGGCACGGGAGGCCAAGGACAAGGGGTTAGTACCTGTTTGCAGACAGCGGGGGCCTCCGAGACTCGGGCTCGGGCACTCACCCGTCAGTGGAGGCCGTTACTAGGGCCACCTTATTCTCAAGCGGGTTCCGGCGCGCCACCGCGGAGCTGGCCATCCGTACCGACTTCCACGTCCGCGCACAGGGACGCAACAGGAGCCCTGCCTTTTGCATGGAGGCGGCCGGTTCAGGGTTCTGCGCCGCCTAGGGGAGGTGACAGGGGGCGGGGCTAGGGGCGGGGTGAGGGGCAGGGCGAGGGGCGAGCCACGTCCCCGCCCGGCAGCCCGCTCGGAAGCCAGATCCCCTCCCCGCTCCCAGCTCCCCACCGGTCCTAGAGCGGGACAGCTCGTCCTGCTTCGCGCGGGCCCTTGGCGCAGGGAGTCGGCTGTGGCCGCGGCGCCCCTCAGTCCCCTGCTCGGCCCGGCCGGCCGGTGTGGGACGGTTCCGTCGGTTCCGGTTCCCTGTAGGGCTGCTCCCGCCTCCGGGAGTCCGTAGACTTCCCTGTCCGCGCGCCCCTCCTTCCACATCTGCTTGCCCACGTCTTTTCTTGGGGGAGAGGGGACTTTGAGTTGGTTGCTTTTCCTTCCCAGAACCTCAAGATGGACTTTGTTCTCCAAGAAAGTCTGGGTCCACATTTGGGACAGCCCACAGGAGGGCAAATATTTTGAGATTGCCCATGGGGGTGAGACCCGTAGCCCCAATGGAGCCCACCACGTGAGGGTCTCAGGTGAGGCTGCAGGAGCCTGGGAGAGACACGAAGTGGGGAGCAGCTGGGTAGGCCTGCCCTGCCCTTCACTCAGGCTCAAGTTCTCCATCCCCACAGGCCTGGAGGGCAGATTCTGATCACCAGTGGTAATCAGTGTGCAGAATTAAAGATCCTGATAGGACAGGATCTCTTATACCTTCCACTGCAAGAGGACTTCTCCATTTTCAGGCCTAAGTGGTAGCAAGGAGGCTAGAGAGTCCCCCAGCAAGTGGTGGAAATTCGGAGAACTCAGGAGCACTCAAGCTCTCCATAATCACTATATCCCCAGGTCTTAGCCTCCATTCTAGTTCAATAAATATTTGTTGAATGTAAAAGCACTTTATAAACTGTAAACTGCTAAACACATAAGTAATTATTGCCACCATAAAGTAATTATTATGTCCTCCACAGGCCAGGCTCTTTGTTTGTAGACTGAGGGTGCTGGAGTAGATAATGGATAAGTTCCTCTCCAGCTATAAGTTCTGTGTCCGAGACTTCAGCCTCCGCTTCTGCCAAGTGGGCTGAAATGATCTCCCTCCTGGATTTCTGGGAGAACTAATAAATCTGTATGGCTTATGATACACTGTAGAAAGGCCCCGACGTACCCAGTGTCAGCATCTGAATTGGTTTAACCCAGTGGCCTCCAAATGCCAGCCTGAGAAGTTGTGCAGATCCATGGCAAAGTTTTCACTAGTTCAAAGCAAAAAGAGAAAAAGACAATATAGTGTTTCATAAATCTAAGGTTATTTAACTTAACAGGTAGTCCTTTTCCTTTTTTTTTTTTTTTTTTTTTTTTTGGTGTTAGTCTTTTTGTTAAGAGAAGATGATGAAAGCAGATGGGTAGGTTGAGAAAAGTGTTGTTAGTTGGTGAAATCACCAGTCTCATAACCCGATGTCAGTCCCTACAATTAGAGGAGAGAGAATCCTGGTTTGTGAAATTCAGTGCTGGGGATCACTGCTTAATAAAATTCATACTTGCTAAAGATTTGTTTAGTATACGTGTAGGTCAACTGAGCAGCCAAAAAGGATTTCAGCATTCAAAAGGGGGTGTATGAGCAGCGAATGATATAACAAGCATGCACTGGATCTATAGTTTATTCCTCAAACTAGATGTTACAGCTGTGGTACTCAGCTCATCCTGATGAGATAAGAGAGCTTGAGTCTAATTTTCCCCATGTCTGGGGAAAACTGACTCTCTGACTGGTGCCCCTCAGTCTGAACCTCATGAATTATTGACAACAGAGGCTGGATAGCATGACACTCCTCTTCTTCCTGACCTGTTCAGAGCTAATGCACTGTGGGAACCCTTCCCAGTGCTCTGCACCTGCCTGTGGGGCTGGGGGAGGGGAGGTAGGCGGCCTGGAGCAGAGCCTCTCAGGGTTTTAGTTCAAAGGGACAGGCCTGCAGGGCGTATTTGATCTCTCTTCACCTCCTGTCCAGAGGTGGGCAGCCAGATCCAGGGGTTGAGGTTGGCAGTGGGAGGCTGAGGGAGACCACACCCCAAAGAGCAAAGGGTTTGGGGAAAAGAGAATTCTGGCCTCTGAGCTCGTGAACATCACATGGCCCCTCCCTGTCTGGGCGGGGTTGATATTTGGCCTCCAGCACCATTTCTTTTGGGAGAACACAGGGGACGTTAGGGAGGGGATCTGTGAACAGAAAAGGGTAGAGGGAAGGCAAGAAGAGTGGGAGTCTCCAGCTCCGACTACACATCAAGCTGGTTTGTTGGAGATGAGGGTAGGAAATTTTGGGGGGAAATACGTGTGTGTGTAGGAGTCTCTTTGAAATGGGGATTTTAATAGGTAATGGAATTGTTCTTGTATGGAGGTGGTACCATCTGCAGATCTTGAGGAAATGCCTCCATGATTGAGGACTACACTCCCATCTTCTTCAAGGGCTGTGTTGATTTAAAAAATGCACAACGTGAGAGTTGCGAATTAAGTTTTATTTGGGGCAAAATGAGGACTGCAGCCCGGGAGACAGCGTTTCAGATAGCTCTGAGAAACTGCTCCAAGGAGGCCAGTGGAGGAGCCAGGATATATAGGAGTTCTGCAACAAAGGGCAGGTAGTCGGGAATGTCAAAGGATTATTGTTCATTAAAGAAAACCAGATATCTCAAGTTAAGTAATTTAGCGCTTTTCTATGTATGGGAAGATGCAAGAGTCTGGGCTCACTGAAATCATTCCTTTGACATGCACCTCAGCTCTCTGGGGCCGGTATCCTGTGTTTTCATATCTTGAGTTTCCTCAGGTCTCACCGTAGGGAGTGGCTGCGGTCTGTTGGCTGCTAGATGGTATTCCTTTCAGCCCTGAGTTTCCTCAGGGCTCATCGGCTCATGTTGGAGGGCTACAATCATTGATGACTGTGACATCCTTTGTTTACTGATATGGCAGGGAATATTCCGTATATAAATATTCCATTCCATTTATAAATATTCTATTTATCAGCTGACTGCAGTCTGGAAGGAAATTCACCTGGGTTGGAATTTAAGTCTTGCATCTTGCAACAGCCATTCCACATTGGTCATTGACTCATGCAATACTGACACAAGTCAGGCTTGGGTGGTGTAGGAGGGCTGTGTGATAACAACGACTTTTATTGAATACTTACTAAGTGCCGACAACTGTTGGGTGATTTTTATAAATTTTATTGAATGTGTCTAATCCAGTGAGGTAGGCAGTTTTATTTCTATATATGAAATCAAAGTGAGTTATGACAGCCTGACCTGCTGGAATAGCTACTTTTAATTTTTCTGACGTTGTTAGAGAATGACAGTTTTCTTGGAAATTAATTTTCTCTTAATTGGAATTTTACTTTCTGCATCAATTCATTTTTGTTTTAATCATTATTTTTTAAATTACAAAAATAACACATGTTCACAATTTTTAAAAGAGACACAAGGTTATAGAGTGAAAAGTGAAAAAGTAACTCTTCCCTATGCTTCCTTTACCTGCTCCCCATATAGCTCTTGGTCTTGTGTATCATCCTTCCAGAAGTTTCCTATGCATTTACATGCATATTTTCCATTTAAAATGTTTCCCATGAATGGAATGACACTATACATAATGTCCTTCAAATTGCTTGTTTCTTTTCTTTCTTCCTTTTCCCCACTTCTCTCTTTCATTTCTTAAAATACATTCTTGGAGAGTGTTCTGAGTGGTACACAATAGATCACCTTTACTCTCTCTCTCCCTTTTAAAAATAGCTGTACAGTATTCCATTGTGTGGATATTCCATAATTTATTTAGCCAGTCTCCCACCGAAGAACGTTTAAGTAGCTTCCAGTGTTTTGCCATTTCAAACAACGCTACAATGAACAACCTTGGATGTATATATATATATATATATATTTTTTTTTTTTTTTCTTTTTCTTTTTTTTTTCTGCGGTACGGGGGCCTCTCACTGTTGTGGCCTCTCTCGTTGTGGAGCACAGGCTCCGGATGCGCAGGCTCAGCGGCCATGGCTCATGGGCCCAGCCGCTCTGCAGCATGTGGGATCCTCCCGGACCGGGGCACGAACCCGAGTTCCCTGCATCGGCAGGCGGACTCTCAACGACTGCACCACCAGGGAAGCCCCCTATATATTTTGTATTTGGTGCAAATACATTTGTATCCTGCATCAAATGTTTTAAATTGATGGCTATTGTCAAATGAACTGAAAAGAGATTTAACTGGTTCTGATGGAACTGGTTTTTCTCAACTGAATTTAGGGACTTCCCTGGTGGTCCAGTGGTTAAGACCCTGAACTCCCAATGCAGAGGGCCTGTGTTCAATCCCTGGTTGGGGAACTAAGATCCCACATACCACAACTAAGCCCGCACACTCTAGGGCCCCTGTGCCACAACTAGAGAAGCCCGTGTGCCGCAGCGAAGGCCCAGCGCAGTCAAAATAATAAATAATAAATAAATAAATAAATAAATAAACTGAATTTACCTGCTGCCCTACCCTCTTCTACACGGTATGTATTGATAGAATGGTTTCAACTGTGGGTGATGGTGTAAGCTCGGAGTGATAAGAGGTAGCGTTCCTTGGCCTCAGTGGCTGGGAACCCATGGGGATCAGTGGGTACTCCTGACCTGCAGCTTGCAGACCTGAGGTGCACTTAGTTTCACTCATGTTTGTCATTGACAAGGCCAGCCCAGCATTGCCAGATCTTAGGAATTTTATTTATTTATTTTGTTTGTTTGCTTTCTTTTGGCCACGCTGTGCAGCATGCAGGATCTTAGTTCCCCCAACCAGGGATCGAACCGGTGCCCCCTGCATTGGGCACGTGGACTCTTAACCATTGGACCGCCAGGGAAGTCCCGATCTTAGGAATTTTAATCAGAAGGTAGAAATCTGGGTTTTAATATGAAATATTTCATTTTTAAATGTTGGCAACAAATTTACTAAAACAAACAAACAACAAAACTAAACAAAAACAGTGAATGTAT